TGATATATATAATTAATTTGTATTTCATACCTAGAAATTAGAAAGGACAATGTATCGCAAAATCATGGATGATACTTTCATAGGATTCTGTCCTTTTTCTATCTCCGTATGTTGTCTAGTTGGTATTTCTTTCTGAATACAAACAAATTCTTATCTCATTTTGACCAGATAAAATTTTATTATAAATCAATTTGGTATATGGTATAGGGTCAACTAATGCAAATGACGATGATGGCTACACCTAACATCAACAAGGAGCTGCATTACTTGAACAAGGAAGATAGATTGCTGCGCTGGCTTTTGGTTAAACACCGAGACACGAAGTATGGACTGGAATTTCTTAGTGAAGAGGATGCAAATAGTGAAGTCAATAGGCTTCATCGGAACAGCATATATGATGATGATGATGAGGACGAGGATGAGGACGAGGACGAGGACGATGACGATGATGAATATGAAGTGGACCAAGGAGGAAATCCAACTGAAGGTTAATGTAATTCTATCAGGGATGGCTTGTTGGCATTTTGTTGAAATTCTGGTTTTTGTTTGTCATAAGTTTAGGTAGTAGTAAGTTCTATGAACTATGTTGGGTGAGAATTGGCTTATCAATGTATTAAATGTTGTGAGCTTTTTGTTTTGATCTGGTTGGTGCACCTAAATTTATTTTTTCTTAATTGGCTAGTGTACAGAACCCTTTGAAGGTGAACTTGATCATCTGATGATCTGTCATTGAAAACGTCTTCTGAGAGTTGAAAAGAGCAATGTGGAAGTGACTCTGCATTGACATGAAATGAAATAATGAAAAGTGTTTTAGCTTGAGTCTCTCTTGTCTCATCAGCTCTCTCTTGATGTTGAGTGCTCCTGGGAATTGGTTTGCTTGAATTAGAAGGATCCATGTTTGGAACTTCCTTGTATCTAAACTTTGCTGGATGAGGATGGATGGGCACCTACAACTACAAGGCAAACGGTCATGGAAAAATTATGAGCTGTAGGAATCTCACCCGCCCGAG